AAAAAAAAAAAAAAAAAAAAAAAAAAATGTTACCTGCTCTTGTTATTGGTATTGGCAAGGAAGTTTCTGCTGCCCAGGGGTGTATAGGTCTCATGGTCTTGTCTGTTTCGAGAATTCATTAGATCTGTAGACTCTGCCGTCCTAGAGGAGTGCAGAGGTAATCCAGAAGATTCAGGGAAAGCTGTTATTTGTCTACACTAGCAGTTCATTGGAATGGCAGGTTCAATACAGACTCTGGGATTCCCAGTAGTCTGAGCAAAGAGGCCCTTGGGACTTGCAGTCCATATACCCCCCAGGGCACCTGGGGCCAGGCCACCCTTCCTCCTGCTAATCTAGGAAAAGATGGGATTGGGGAAGATCTGGTGGGAGGACATGCTAACTCTCTGTCTCCCCCTTTCTGGGACCTGAGGAGCAAGAGCGGGTTTGGGACACGTACAGCAGCCTGGAACAGGAGCTGAGCACCTTGAGAGAGACCCTTGAGTACCTGCTGCACCTCGGGTCCCCCCAGGTACACCCCTGCCCCAAGCCCCACCCTGCACTCCAAGATCACTTGGAAACCCTTTTGGCATTTAAGCCCCTCCCATAGAATCAAAGCCCCTCCCATGTTATCTTTAGCCCCTCCCCCTCTGCCTTTTTCTTTCATTTAAAACCCAATAATTAAGACAGTGCCCTTAATTTCAAGACCTATCTTCAGATTCGGAACTACTGCCCCGTCTGGTTCTAAATCTCTCCTCTTACTTTGAAGCCCTACCCTTGGGGTCAAAACTCTGCCCCTCAGCCCTGTCCCATCCTGCAAGTTCATCTCTTGCATTTTGCATCCTGACTTTCACTTTTAAATTTATCCTCTGGAGGCTCCAGTTCTAAATCCAATCCCTTAGTTCAAGCCCCACTCCTGAAGCTGCATTGCTTGGCCTCAGACCCACGTCTTCATTCTAAGCCTAGCAATAGAGTTTCTAAATCATATACCTTCAACTAAAAATCCTGGCTTCTAGTATTAAATGCATACTCACAGGTTTAAGTCCCACCCTCTTCATACTAACCCCCTCCCACTTCCTCCTAAAATCCACCGCTCAACGCTAATCCCCCACCTACTGGTGTTAGATATTCCTCAGCACCAGCAACATATGAAAAGAACAATACATCACAACCAAGTTAGGCTTATTACAGGAATGCAAGGTTAATTTAACACTTGAAAATAAGTTCATGTAGTTCACTACATTTAATAAAATAAAGAAAAAAACCCACATGGTCATCTCAATAAATGCAGGAAAAACATTTTTAAAATTTAATATCCATTCATGATAAAATCTCTCAGCAAAGTAGGAATATAAATCAGCTTCCTTAATCCGATAAGGTGTCTATAAGAAACTTAAACTTACAGCAAACATTATTGTTGGCAGTGAAATGTTGAAAACTTTTCCCCAATATTTGGAATAAGACAAGTTTTCAGACCCAGGATCCAGACCCCCAGTCCCTCCTAGTTCTAGTCAGCATTGTCCCAGAGATTCTAGGCAGTACAAGAGAGTCTGAGACATAAATTAAAGGTATAAGGACCAAAGAGGAAGACGTAAGGCTGTTTTTATTTAAAGATGACAAAACTGTGTATGTAGAAAATCCAAAATAATCTGCAGAAAGATTGGTAGAATAAGGCAATCCAGCAAGGTAACTGAATGCAAGGATAACATGCAAAAATCAGTTGTCTTCCTGTATGCTAATAACAAACAATTAGAAAATAAATATTCATAAACAATAGTGTTTACAATTAACATAAACAGATTAAATATCTAGGGAGAAATATAATGAAAGATATGCACGACATCTACTCTGAGCGCCACAAAATGTCATTGAGAGAAATTGAAGACCGATATAAATGGAGAGATGTACCATGTTTGTGGATAGGAAAGACACTAATGTAAAGATGTAGTCTCCCCAAATGGATTTCCCCAGTGGGGATATTCGATCCCAATACAAATCCAGAAGGCTTTTTATGTGGAATTTGACAAGCTGACTCTAAATTCTATCTGGAAGTGCAAAACGCCAAATGTAGACAAGGCAACCTGCAAAAACAAAGCTGGATGACTGACACAACTGGATATCAATCAAGTCTGACTGTAAAGCTACAGTTAATAAGAGGGCAGTATAGTATTGACACAACATTAGACAAATGGAACAAAGGAAAGAATAGAATATTCAGAAACAGACTCACATCCATTTATATGGTCACCTATTTATAACAGAGGTAACACTACAGAGCCATACAGAAAAAACAATGTTTATGATAAATGATAATGGGTAAGTGGGATATCTAAATGGAAATTTCAGACCCTTTCCATGGCCTATCAACTTTAACCCTCCTTGCATTTTCCCACCTTTGAGTAACAAATTCCTTTCCTCTCCCCAGGACAGAGCATCTGCTCAACAGCAACTGTGGATGGTGGAAGACACACTGGCAGGTCTGGGGGGCACCCAGAAACCACCCCACCACACTGACCCTGACTCCCCATCCCCTGCACTCCAAGGCAAGGAGTCTTCAGACAGGGAGGTGAGACTCACCTTTTTCCCCACCCCCAGCTTCCTGTTCCATCTGCCTCTGACCCAGCTCATTACCTACTCCCCTCTTTCTCTCTCCCTTGACCAGCTAACCAACCTCAGGCATGTATCCTAAGCTCTGGAAGCCTTTGTTTTCTTATTCGTTGTACAATGATCATTGTCCAGTGATGTGCTGGACCCAGTTCCCAACACCTCCCAAGGTCCAATTGCCTGCATCTCTTCTCAACTCCACATTCAGTGATGTCATGTTGGTAGCTTGAAATTGACCATGGTGGGAGTAGTTACACCTGGAAACTGGCAAATGCTACAAACCAGGGCTCTTTTCTCCCAGAGGGCATTTGTTAAACATTTACCAGACACCGCTGATCTTAACCCCTACCTTGCAGGGTACTGTGAGAAGGAGAAACTGTGACTAGAATGTGCCTGACATAGAGTAAGCCGTCAGGAATCAGGAGCCACAATGGTTGTAGGTGATCATCAGATCATGTATCCGGGAGACCTGGGTTTAGATCTCAGCTTTGCTATCTTTGTGACATCAGTCATTGACCTCATTCTCTGAGCCTCAGTTTCCCCATATATCAAATAGGGATAATAATAGCTGTCTTGTTGATTTACCGAGGGGATTCAATGAGACAATGCTGGTAAAGTACTTAGCACCGTGCCAGATACATAATCATTATAAAACCTCACACGTATAATGCCCTGCCATGTGCCAGGCACTGTTCTAAGTACCTTACATGTATCGATTCAATCCTCATATCAGGGACTCCCCTGGTGGTCCAGTGGTAAAGAATCCACCTTACAATGCAGGGGACGCAGGTTTGATCCCTGGTTAGGGAACTAAGATCCCGCATACCACGGTGCAACTAAGCCCACGCGCCACAACTACAGATCCCACGTGTCCTGGAGCCTGTGCACCACAGCTAGAGAGTAGCCTGCGCGCTGCAATGAAGAGCCCACGTGCCACAAGGAAAGATCCCGCATGCCTCAAAGAAGATCCTGTGTGCTGCAACTAAGACCTGGTGCAGCCAAGAAAAGAAAAGAAAAGAAAAAAAGCTATAGGTTAAAATCCTCATATCAAAAGGTGAAATATGGTAAAGTAACTTGCCCAAGGTCACACAGCAAAAAAAATGGCAGAGCTGAGGTTTGGAAACCAGATCTGGCTCCTGGTTTTCAATCTTAATTCTACTTATGCAGTGTCTCAATTGCTAAGTGCTTGAAAATGGTAATAATAGTGGTAATGATAATTACTATTCCCCTTTCCTGACCTCTCCAGAGCCTGCCTGAGTCCTTGGAACTGAGCCTACCCCGGTCCCCTGAGGCTGACTGGGGGCGGTCCCCAGGGGGCGACAGAGAGCTTGCCAGCCCTCGCTCAGGTGAGCGTCTGGAGTGGGGAGGGACTTGCTCGTCATTCCTTGTCCTTACCAGTCCCATGGAGTGTGGAGGGACTTGCTCGGCATTCCTGGTCCTCACCAGTCCCATTCTACTCCTCCAGGTCTTGGATCTCCAAGAGTCTCCCGGGCTTCCAGCCCTGAGGGTCGCCGCCCCCCTTCCCCGCAGCCAGGAACCAAGGTAGGCAGTCCATCTGGCCTCCTCAAGTCCACTGTAACCCTTTGACCACCACAGGAAGGACCCCCTGTCCCCACTCTTGGGGAAACATCTGGGAGAGAAGAGTTTTAAGGCCACACCCTAGAGCAGAGACAGCGAGATTTATTAAGAGCCTTGGGACTGGGCTTCCCTGGTGGCGCACTTGTTGAGAGTCCGCCTGCCGATGCAGGGGACGCGGGTTTGTGCCCCGGTCCGGGAAGATCCCACATGCCGCGGAGCGGCTGGGCCCGTGAGCCATGGCCGCTGAGCCTGCGCGTCCGGAGCCTGTGCTCCGCAACGGGAGAGGCCACAAAAATGAAAGGCCCGCGTACCGGAAGAAAAAGAAAAGGCAATTTTGTCTCTGCCACTTCTAAGCTGTATGACTTTGGGTCAGTTATGAAATCTCTCTGCCTCCATTTTCTCATCTGCAAAATGGAGCTAATAGCGGTGTCTACCACCTAGGGCTGATGTGAAGAGTCAAAGTAGATGAATGCCCATAAAGCTTGAAAGTAGTGCCTTAGAGCAAGCACGTCATTCATTCATTCATTTATCAATCATTCATTCAATATATACTTATTAAATACCCTCTTCACTGTCTAATAAGGTAGCCAGTAGTCACATGGGGCTATTTAAATTTAAATGAATTTAAATGAAATAAAATAAAAAATTCACTCTCCCTAAATTTCAAGTGTTCAGGAGACATAAGTGGCCAGTGGCTACCCTGTTGGACAGTGAAAATATAGAACATTTCTATCATTCAGGAAAGTTCTGTCACAGAGAGCTGTTAAGGTGCTCAGGACCCAAACGTGAACAAGATGAGAAAACAAATCCTTCTCTCATGAATCTGACATTCTAGTGGGAAGAGGCAGGTAATAAATAATTTACTATAAATTACTTTATATGTTCTAAGTGCCAAATAAATAAAAACAGCACGGTGAGGGGATTTGGGATACTTGGAGAAGAGGTGCAATTGTCAATGGCTTGGTCTGGGGAGGCTTCTGGAGAGGTGATGCTTGTGAAGATACCCTGAGGAGGTAAGGGAGCAAGTCTTGGGGATGTCTGGTGGAAGAGCATTAGAGGCAAAGGGAACAGTGTTTGCAAAGATTCCGAGGCAGAAGACTCTGGCGTGTTGGAGGAGCAGCTAGAAAGCCAGTGTGGCCGTAACCAAGTAACCGAGCAAGAGGGTGAGGGGTGCTGATGAGGACAGAGGGGTAATAGGGGCAGATCGTGCTGGGCCTTGTGGTCCAAGGTGAGGGCTTATCTTTGACACTGGGTGAGCCCAGAGCCATGGAGTATCTGAGCAGGCACTGAGATGCTGTAAATGGGCACTTGCGCCATCTGGCGGCCACATGGGGGAACAGGCAGTGAACAAGGGCTGAGGCAGGGAACCAGTGAGAAGGTGACTGGGCTATTCCAGCGGGGAGAGAACAGTTGTTTGCAATAGGTTAGAAAAAGTGGAGATGTCAAGACAGAGTCGGATTCTAGATATACCGGTTTTCAAACCTTGTTCAAAACCCTTGGGACCAGATGTTGTTTAAAATGCAAAGTTTTGCAGATTCTAGTAATTCGGTGCATATACTGTGTACCGTGCGTTCTATAACACCGCCTGCCATGTCTGCAGCAGCACACTTAAGCAAACACATTACCATTTCTCCAATAAAATGTATGAATATGCATACAAAATGGGATAAAAGCTATAAATAACATCACCATTTAAATGTCAAGTTAAAAAAAATAGCAATGGATTACTTAAATGGAGTCAGGGGAATAAAAATAGCTTATAAATATCAGGCGCTTTTTATGTTTTTACTTTTTGGAGAGTTATTTATCTTTTTGAATTTTTGAATTTTATTTTATTTATTTTTTTATACAGAAGGTTCTTATTAGTTATCCATTTTATACATATTAGTGTATATATGTCAATCCCAATCTCCCAATTCATCACACCACCACCACCACGCACCCATGCCACTTTCCCCCCTTGGTGTCCAGAAGTTTGTTCTCTACATCTGTGTCTCAATTTCTTCCCCAGGCGCTTTTTTTTTTTTGGCGGTACACAGGCCTCTCACTGTCGTGGCCTCTCCCGTTGCGGAGCACTGGCTCCGGATGCACAGGCTCAGTGGCCATGGCTCATCGGGCCTAGCCTCTCCGCAGCATGTGAGATCTTCCCGGACCAGGGCACGAACCCGTGTCCCCTGCATCGGCAGGCGGACTCTCAACCACTGCGCCACCAGGGAAGCCCCACAATTTCTTTTTTTAAATTAAAAAACTTTTTTCTATTGAAGTATAATTGATTTACAATGTTGTGTTAGTTTCAGGTGTACAGCAAAGTGATTCTTTTCCATTATAGGTTATTACAAGATATTGAATATAGTTCCTTGTGCTATACAGTAGGTCCTTGTTGTTTATCTATTTTACATACAGCAGCGTGTATCTGTTAATCCCCAATTCCTAATTTATCCCTCCCTCCCTTTTCCCCTTTGGTAACCATAATTTTGTTTTCTATGTCCATGAGTCTGTTTCTATTTTGTAAATAAGTTCATTTGTATCATTTTTCAGATTCCACGTATAAGTGAATAAGTGATATCATATGGTATTTCTCTTACTTCACTTAGTATAATCTCTAGGTCCATCCATGTTGCTGCAAATGGCTTTATTTCATTCTTTTTTTTTAAATAGCACTTTTATCTTTTTAACTTAATTAATTAATTAATTTAATTTTGGCTGCTTTGGGTCTTTGCTGGGGCGCGCGGGCTTTTCTCTAGTTGCGGCAAGTGGGGGCTACTCTTCGTTGCGGTGCACGGGCTTCTCATTGCGGTGGCTTCTCTTGTTGCAGAGCATGGGCTCTAGGCACGCGGGCTTCAGTAGTTGTAGCACGCAGGCTCAATAGTTGTGGCTCGCGAGCTCTAGAGTGCAGGCTCAGTAGTTGTGGCACATGGGCTTAGTTGCTCCGCGGCATGTGGGATCTTCCCGGAGCAGGGCTCGAACCCGTGTCCCCTGCACTGGCAGGCGGATTCCTGACCACTGTGCCACCAGGGAAGCCCCTATTTCATTCTTTTTATGGCTGAGTAATATTCCATTGTATATATGTACCACATCTTCTTTATCCATTCATCTGTCGATGGACATTTAGGTTGCTTCCATGTCTTGGCTGTTGTGAATAGTGCTGCCATGAACATTGCCGGGGGATGCCACAATTTCTTGTTTGCATAATAATAATGCCCAGGAAAATCGTAGACACATTCCAAACATTTTGGATGTCGGCTTTTTCTAGGCACTGCCAACTGTGTCTTGTGTGTGTGCCTGTGGCTCCAGCACGCCCATGACCAGACCACCTGAGCCTGGCATCCTTCAAGCCTGCCATTGTTATCTCTCATTGCTGTCGGCGATTATTATTTTTCTTTGGCTGCACCATGCAGCTTGTGGATCTTAGTTCCCTGACGAGGGATTGAACCTGGGCCCTCGGAGTCCTAACCACTGGACCACCAGAGAATTCCCTCGGTGACATTTAAAAAAATAAATTTTTTTTTTTGCGGTACACGGGCCTCTCACTGTTGTGACCTCTCCTGTTGCGGAGCACAGGCTCCGGACGCGCAGGCTCAGCCGCCATGGCTCACGGGCGCAGCCTCTCCGCGGCATGTGGGATCTTCCTGGACTGGGGCACGAACCCGCATCCCCTGCATTGGCAGGCGGACTCTCAACCACTGCGCCACCAGGGAAGCCCCCTCGGTGACATTTTTACAGGTGCACAGAGACATGATGGAGCTCTTTGATCCACCATATACATTTTTTTCAGAACTCAGTTTTCATCAGCTGTTATCTTAGGAAACTCATCAATTGTAATTTCTGACCTGCAGATGCTCTGCCACCCAGGTATTAAAATATTTTACATCATATACTTCTTTAGTGTTGCCAGCTGATGCTCATGATCAGTGTTCTGGTCTTCATGGAATGTTCTAGCTTGTTTCATGACCAAAGGCCATTCAGGGGCATCCAGTTACTTCCTCATGAACACAGGGTCCGGGTCTTTAGGTTTTGCTCTCTGCAGAGTTTCTCTACTTGTCATCAGTTCCTGGTGTCACTGTCCCAGTAAAACTTCTGCAACGTGTTTTTCTGTTTATGTCACATCACATCTTGAGGGTCCTATTTAGCGAGATGTCCCCTGTAGAGGCTCCACAATCCTGTTCCTGACGTGATTCTACTTTCTGAGCTCTTGGAAGTGACAGATGCTTCTGTTTCTTTTCAGTCTCTTTGGGGCGATCTTTGGCTCTCTTTGACGCCTTCAGAGAGCAATTAAACTAGAAGTCATAAGTAACAGACAAAACACAAAGCAAGAAAATTGCAGCTGACGGCAGAAGCCCGATGGGTGTGACTCAGGTGATGCCTCACATCACGAACACTGGGTGCATATTGGCACCGATTTAGAAAAACAAATGTCAGTTTCAGATTTTTTTTTTTTTTAATGACAGATAAGAAATTTAGGGAACTGACTTTGAAAGTGGAGCCAACAAGTTTGCCATTCTCATTGGTGCTGGGGTGGTCCTTGGCCTCTTGTGGACTGGGTTTTGTCCGGCCACTGGGGTTCCTGAACTGAATCAGGCCAGATCCCAGGCATCAGGAACCTCAGACACAAGCACTATCAGAACAGGCAGAGGCGTGTGCTGAGATGGGGAAAGCACAAGGCATTGGGGGACTTCAGGGGACAGCTCCCAGGCAGCCTGGGCATGCTGGGGATGGTTTCCTGGAGGCAGACAGACCTTAAAGATTGAGTTAGAATTTATCCCTGGCAAAGCAGGGAAACAGCTAGTGCAAATGTCCAGCCTGAGGTGGGGATTTAGGAAGCCAGGGCTTCTGCTAGCCCACAGAATGGCTTTCTGTGAATTAGAGACAGGCTCCCCCTTCTGCATGGACAGAACCTGGAATGGTCAATGGAGGGCTTAGCCCTTGGGCAGTGAGTAATCCATACAACCGCACATGGTCACTTGGGAGCACAGAGCTCTGACCTCTGGAATGCCATCTGCCAACTGCAGGTTGTTCAATTCAGGTCCACGAATTCCTCAGACCCTTCTTGACTGCCAGGCTCTACAAGGCGAGGTCCCCAGACCAGTCCCTGTTTTCAAGGACCTACTCTTCTGAGTTTGCCATGTAGTGAATCTCTGAATCACAACCCCTATTTTTCTGTGGCTTCCCCCATCCTGAAACTGGCAAAGGGGTCCGGCAGGAAAAGTATGGCTGATGGACTTGGCAGGACCACTCCGATGCCCACTAAGCCATCAGCAGATGACCAATCCAAGTAGAGTGTCAAGAGCAGTTGCTATCTCTCCCCTTCTCCCTAAACTTTGGCCAGTGCAGGAAGAAATCCCGAATTCCCTTATTTGCTTATCATACTGGTCTTCTAGGGATCAGCCCCTGTGGAAGGTGTTGGGGGTGCCCTGCCATGAATTAGTCCTGAGGCTGGAGTCTGATGGGGAAGAGGCATGAATGCAATCCTCATACACATCCGACAGGGCTGAGCCATTTCATAGGGGGACTCAGAGCATTGGGAAGCCTTTAGGTAAGGTGAGTCTGGATGAATGAAAAAAGTTTGGCCATGCAAGAAACAGTACTCCAAACAGGGAACAGGCCATGTACGCAAAGGCATGGAGGGGATAAAGAAGCTGCAGTTCTGTATCGGAAACAAAGCTGAATTTATTACTTGCTTAAGCAAGACAGACCTCTTGTAAGATATAGTCGCTCTGAGCAAAGCGGAGAGCTGATGATATGGCGTAGAGCTCAGAAACCGGTGGACTTCCGGGTTAAGAGTTGTTCGACCTTAAGATGCGGAAGCTTTGTGTCTGTTGTTGATTGGCTGATTTTCAGAAACGCGGGGCCATCGTTGATTGGCTGGCTTTCAGGAGCGTGGTTCCGGGGATGCCAGTTACGATTGCTTGTTCGAATAGGTGGTGGTGTTTTTTTCTCTCCCCTTGGCAGTGCCACGCGGCATGCGGGATCTTAGCTCCCCGACCGGGGATGAAATCTGTGCCCCCTGCAGTGGAAGCGCGGAGTATTAACCGATGGACAGCCAGGGACGTCCCCTCGAATAGGTTTAAAAGCATTTTTGGCGCTTCCTTACTATCCGTGGAAACCAAGTAATCAATCTGTCCTTTCTTAGGAGAGGAACTTTATTCTTAGTGGTGTGTATAAGGGACATGGATTGTTGGAGCTGCGCCGAATAACACTTAATCTTGGGAATGGCTCCTCCCTCAGCCGTACCGCGGCCAGCATCCAGGGGTGGTGTAAGGTTCTAGGTATTTCAGAGCTGATCAAGGAAAAAGATATGACCACTAGGTGGCAGTAGCACACAGAGCTTTAGTTGGTCCACACTGACAGATTTGCTTGTGGGAAAAGTGCCTGACAGGTTACTGCTTCGGGGCCACTGCCCAGGAAGTGGGGCGGGGGGGGGGGGGGGGGGAAAAAGCCCCTGCACGGGGCGGCCACGGTGGGGGGGCGGGACAAGGGAACTCCCAGGAGAGAAGGAGATTAGAGAAGGGACTTATGGGTCTAGGTGATGTGCTTAGCCGCACAGAGGGGAGCCTCTGGGTCAGAGAGCTCCTAAGGGCAGCAGCCTGTTGGGGTTTTTTTTTGTTTGTTTTGATCCTGCCGCGAGGCATGCTGGATCTTAGCTCCCTGACCAGGGATGAAACCCGTGCCCCCTGCAGTGGAAACGCGGAGCCCTTAAAACCGCTGAACCTCCAGGGAATTCCCCTGTTGGGGGGCTTTTATAGCTACAGGTTGATCTTACCTATGGCTAGCAGATGCTGGGTATAACTTAACGGAGTATTCAAAACAGGCAGGCTCTACATAGCTAAAAATATCCGTCTACTTGAGCTATCTTTGAAACAAGGGATGTGTAAAAGTTTCAGTTTGGCCCTAGCAGGCTTTCGGGTCAGTGGTCTGGCCTGCCATGAAGAAATAAATGACATAGGGTCAATTTACAGGGACCATGATGTATCTAACAGGTGGACATGTGACTCAGGATCGACCAAATCAGAGTCACGTAGAGTAAACTGCAGTGATTGGTCCTACAACAGCAACAGATCTAAGCTGTCTGCCTAGAATGTTCTAGTTGGAGACTGCAGTGGAGAGTTCTCTCCCCAACCCCATCCCCTTTGTTTTCTGCTTAAACAATAAATTTACTGTCTTACAGTTCTGTAGGTTAGAAGTCTGAAATCAAGGTGTTGTCAGGGCCATGCTCCTTTTTTTTAAATTTAATTAATTAATTTATTTGGCCGCGCTGCACGGCACGTGGGATCTTAGTTCTCCGACCAGGGATCCACCAACCGTGTAGTGGAAGCTTGGAGCCTTAACCATTGGACCGCCAGGGAAGTCCTGGGCCAGGCTCCTTCTGAAGGAGCTAGGGAGGGATCCGTTCCTTGGCTTGTGGCATTATAACTTCAGTTGTCACGTGGAGTTCTCCCTAGGTGCATGTCTGTGTCCAAATTACCCCCTTTCTGGAAGGATAACAGGTTTGCAGCTCTATTGGCCACTTTCCTGCCTGTAGCATCCCAGATGTCTGACAGCCTTCCTTCATTTTGTCCCATCTCTGACCCCTTCAGTTTGACTTGGCAGCTTTTCTGCTGAGTTGGTTTACTGGATCCACACATCATCACATGCCTAATGTCTCAGCAAATGGTTTTACGGACACACCCTTGGTGTTCTCTTCAGAACAAGCTTCCTTGCAATACACATAGGCTGCGAATGTTCCAAATGTTCAAGTTCCCCTTTGATTTATCTCTGTCATGTTGCATTTTAAGTTCTTAAGTCTATAAGTAGGTGATCATGATCAAGGTGTCATCAGAACCATATTTCTGGTAGCTTCTGGTAAAGTTCCTTGGCTTGTGGCAGCATAACTGCAATTGTCACATGACAGTCTCCCTGTGTGTCTCTTCCCTCTGGTTTTGAGGGCGAGAGAGAGCTTGTAAAGTCCTCCCTCAGACAAACCCAAAGCGATCCTCCTGACGATCGAGTTACACGATAAATCTCATTCTTCCTTTTAATGTTTTCAAAGCTGATTCAGAGTTTTTTTTGTTTTTTTGTTTTTAATCACAAGCAACCCGGAGTCCTGACTACCACTGCAAAGAGACTTGATCTGTCCAGGGAAGTGTGGGTGTTTGTCAGTCTGGGGCTTCGGGTTTGAACAGGGCAGCTGATGGAGTTGAGGCTGGAGAGGTGGGTAGGGACCAGGCCACAAGGGGCCTCCAATGCCTTTGTCCTGAAAGCGCTTGGGGGCCATGGAAGGACTTGAGCAGCAGAGGGACAGCCTGTGCTCCGGGTGTAGGAGTAGCCCTCGAGAGCGGGGGTGAACTTATTGGGAAGGGCAAGGCAGGGGGCTGAGAGGTTCAGGGAAGAGAGAAAACGGAGGCCAAGGTTGGAGTATCGCGGTGTTTCTCATCTCCCCAGGTCCCCCTAGCCCGGCCCCGGATGAGTGCTCAGGAGCAATTGGAGAGAATGCGCAGACACCAGGAGTACGGTCGGCCTCTCCCTCGCCCAGCCTCCCCCCGGCTCCTCACTCTGGGGAGGACACTGTCCCCAGCCAGACGCCAGCCTGACGCAGAACAAAAAGTGAGGGAAACAGGTGGGGCGGTGAAGCAGCAGTGGGTTCTTAGTTCCTAGTTGGAGCCTCAGTTTTTCCTCTCTGTAAAATGGGGATGTTTCCTTCCTCCGTACCCAGAACAGGTTTCCAGATTTTACCCCGCTGTACCTGTGCTGAAATCAGCATCTTGGCTCCCTTATCAGTGGAAGACAGGGTGGGCCAGAGACCACATCACCACCTCACCAGCATTCTCCCTCCTCGGGGAGGGGGTGGGGGTCACGGGTCTGGACTGGAAGCCCAGTTTTCCTTTTCAGTTACTGTGCGTTGTCAAAGGCAAAAAAAGAAAAGAAGAAAAATTGATCAAGTAAGGAAATAGATTTTATTCATGTTATGGTGATGGGGAGAGGACTCCAGATCCAAAGATCAGAGTGGTCTGGGCAGGACGGTATTTTTTGTTTGTTTGTTTGGTTTGTTGTTGGTGGATTTTTTGTTTTGTTTTGTTTTTGGCCACGCCATTGCGCAGTGGCTTGTGGGATTTTAGTTACCCCACCAGGGATTGAACCCAGGCCCTCTGCAGTGAGAGTGCGGAGTCCTAACCACTGGACCGCCAGGGAGTTCCCCATGGATGGTTTCATATTAGACTTTTCTAGGAAGGAATTAGACAAGTGGGGTGATTTTACAGTTGGGATTGTTTTTGTAAACAGAGAGCATCTCAAGTCAGCTGAACACCAAACATTTATCTCTATGTCTAGCTAGTTGGGGCGGGGGAAGAGTTCAGCTAATCATTTATGACAAAAGGAATGTGAATTTGGAGGGTCTGTTTCTGGCCTTGTCACAGGTAAACGGGGTGGGGCAGGGGGTCATCTGTGAATCTTGTCAACGAAAATTCTATTAAAAACAAGTTAACAAGAAAAAAAGGGAATTTTATTTGAGCCAAACAGGATTACAACCTGGGAGACAGACTCTCAGAAAGCTCTGAGAACTGTTCCATGTGTTAGAAGTCAAAAGACACACTCATATCCATTTTCCAGACAAAGGATCGTACATCAAAATGACATACTGATGGGCTTCCCTGGTGGCGCAGTGGTTGGGAATCCGCCTGCCAATGCAGGGAACACGGGTTCGAGCCCTGGTCTGGGAGGATCCCACATGCCGCAGAGCAACTAGGCCCGTGCGCCACAGCTACTGAGCCTGCGCTCTAGAGCCCGCGTGCCACGGCTACTGAGCCCGCGTGCCACGGCTACTGAGCCTGTGTGCCACGGCTACTGAAGCCCACGCACCTAGAACCCGTGCTCCGCAGCAGGAGAGGCCATAGCAGTGAGAGGCCCGCGCACCATAACAGGAGTGGCCCCTGCTCACCCCAACTGGAGAAAAGCCCAGGGCAGCAGCAAAGACCCAATGCAGCCAAAAAAAAAAAAAAAAAAAGATAAATAAAGTAAATAAATGTAAAAAATAATAATAACTTTAAAAAAATGACATACTGATATTTTTACATAAAAAGTTCACCAAGGATACATAGTCTAGGGAAGAACATACAAAGCCAGCAGCAAGTCACCGTGATCTCCTACAGAGTTGGGAAAGAATACTGTTCTTTTAAGAAGTTACATTGGAAAAAAAAAAAAAAAAAGAAGTTACATTGGTAGTGTCGGAAGAAAGGGGGAAAAAATGATCTTTACGATAGAGCAGGCACTGCCATCTCTGAGGAGCTCTGGTTAACGTGTAATGCAGATGCACACTGCACATTAGGGAGGGAGGGAGGAGACTCAAGCACACAGAGAGAATTTTATGTTTAATTTTTCTTGTCCTGCCTTAAAATAGCAATTTTACTTCATTAGTCTTATCTAAGTCATATGGAGAAGAGAGGTTCTTTGCAGTAAGCCTTTCACCAGAATGCAAAAGG